CGCTGAGCTAAATCCCCAGCCCCTTTCCTTGTTATTATGTATAACGAATACAACAATGCTGTATGTATGGATGTACCAGATTCCTAATCAGTTCTTTTGTTGATGGGCTATTGTTTCCAGCTTTTTACTACCGTATACAATATGGTGACTAACAACCTAGTTTATACTTTGTGCACTGTGTGAGTGTTTCTCTTGAGCAGATACTTAAGGATGCTGCACTGCAGTGGAGGTGCATTTGAAGATGAAATAAATACTATCAAACATCTCTGTAATGATTTTGTCTGCCTTCCTGGAACAGTAACTTACTCTGGAAAACAAACTAGGTCATGTTGACAAGCTTCCTCCAAGAGCATTGACTGATCCTCAAATTTGAGTAGGGGGTGAAGCCCATGGGGAAACTTCATGGGAACAAGAAATTAGACCTGACAAATGTATCATCAGTTGAGGTGAAGCCCAAGATAGGAGATGGAAATCTTCTTTTTTTTTTGTTTTTGAGATGGAGATCTTTAGAACTCTTATCAGATTAAGGTTGGAATTCCACGACAATTTGCTAAAGAGGTCAAGTATATTCTAACACAGTGTTTATCATTCCCAAGTGTTATTTAGGGATTATTTAAAGTACAGATTCTGACTCAGTAGGTTTGGGATAAGGCCTGAGACTCTGCATTTCTAGCAAGCTCCTTGGTGAATTTTTTTAAGAAAAATTGTGAGAGGCCTAAGGAAGATCAGAGAGAATCAGCCTTCCAGATCAACGATTCTCAAATTGTGTCCTCAGGGCAAATGCATCAGCATCATCTGGGAACTTGTCAGAAATGCACATTCTCAGACCCTGTACTTTCTGATTCAGAAACTCTAGGGTGGGACAACCGTGCTTTAAGAAGCCCCAAGGTAATTTTGCTATATGCTGAAGTTTGAGAATCACTGAATTCTAGATATTTAACAAAGACTATAAAGACTATTTGTATAGTTTGTGTGTGTGTACTTTTTTGTTTTTTTTTTTTTTGGTTTTTCTCTGGTACCGGGAACCGAACTCACAACCTTGCGCTTGCCAGGCAGGCACTTTTGCCACTGAGCTAAATCCCCAGCCCCTTTTTGTTGTTTTTTTGTTTTGTTTTTTCCTTCCCCTACCCTTGGGGGAAGTGGTGGTACTGACAAATGAACCTAGGGCCTTTGCACTGATACATCCGCAGCCCCTTTATATATTGTTTTATGCTTTTGCGGTACTTGGGATTGAATCTAGGGCCCTCACGAGCTATACCCTCAGCCCTTTTAAATTCTGAGAGACTCTCATTAATTGCCCAAGCTGGTACTGATTTCTTAGGCCTCCTAAGTTCTTTTTTTTTTTTTTTTTTTCTGGTACTGGGAATCAAACTCAAGACCTTCTGCTTGCCGGGCAGGCGACGTATCGCTGAGCTAAATCCCCAGCCCGCCTCCTAAGTTTTTTTGGATCACTTGAAAAATAAGAATCTTTGTCAGGATTTCTTGTCCTAAAAACTCAATATACAGCAATCTTATGTATACTACATTACCCCTCAAAATATAAAACAGAAGTTACTATTTCTGTGTCAAATATATGAGGCTAAAGCTCTAAGGAGTTAAAAGTGCCTCATTTAATTAAAATATAGTTTATAGAGCATATACTTAGCACGTGCAAGGTTTGGGTTCAATCCCAAGCATCAAAAATACCAGACCAAATATACAGTTTCAGACAGATGTCCTAACCACTGTCTTTTCAAAGCTATATGACTTCTCATACCTTTTTAATTACTTAAGTTATGAGTGTCTTTATTTCAAATTTGGAGATCCTCTGCACATCAATACTATATAGACCTTTCCTTCTCAGTAGTTGGGGGAGAAATCTGAATTTTTCACAACACACTAAAATCCAGTCAGGGGCTGGGGATTCAGCTCAGTGGCACAGCACCTGCCTGGCAGGCGCAAGGTCGTGAGTTCGATTCCTGGTACTGGAAGAAAACCAAAAACCAAAAAACCCCATAAAAGCCTAGTCAGACATAAAACTATATGTGAATAATATAACTTATTTTCTAAAAGCAACAAGAAGTACATACTGTAAGTGTCTTCCATGCTGAAAACGAAGGAGCTGACTTCAAGTGCTGGGGGGAAGAAACACATGAATTAGGGAATCAAATGAAATGTACCAAAGGCAGCCCTAAGAAGAGAAATCACTACTTCTTGAATTGAAGCTATCTAAGTTCAATATAAAAAATCCTTGTCATGTATTTTCTTCCACATTTTCTCTTCTTTAAAAGCTTTCTTTCCTCCTCTGAAGCTTGTTGTTCTCCCCTGGCAGTACTGGGGATTGGACCCAGGCACTTACACACGATAGGCAAGCATTGTACCACTGAGCTAACATTTCCAGCCCTTTTTATTTTTTGAGACAGCTACCCAGCCTGGGCTTGAATTTGTAATCCTTCTGTCTCAGCCTCTTTAATAGCTGGGATTAAAAGCATGCACAATTCACGCCTGACTCCTTTGAAACAATTTAACACCACTGCCTCATCTACATTTTTGGAATATATTTTAGGGCCCAAATAGCCTATCACTGTTTACCTGCTAGTGGGGATTTGATGCTATCTAACACTACAGGGCACAGGTCAAGACCATAAAAACTTATTTATTTATTTTTTGGTCTTTTTGAGACAGGGTCTCACTCTGCAGTTCAGGCTGGTCTTGAGCTCACTTTGTAGCCCAGGCTGGTCTCGAATTTGAGCCTCCTGCCTCAGCCTCCTGAGTGCTGGGATTACAGGCATGTGCCATCAAGTCTGGCTTATTTAAATTTTGGACAAAAACAGGCATAGGGTATTTTATTTTTTGAGACAGGGTCTTGCTATGTATTCCAGGCTGGTTTCAAATTGACTATATAGCCCATGCTGGCTTCAAATTCACAGGGATCCTCTTGCCTCAGCCTCCTGAGTGGGAATGTTGGGATTTACAGGCATGTACCACCATGCCTGGTTTAGGGTACTATTTTAGGCTTCCTTTTTTTTGGTACTAGAAATCGAACTCAGGACCTTGCACTTGCCAGGTGGGCACTGTGCCACTGAGCTATATTCCCGGCCCTAGGGTACTATTTTAAAGTTCTCTTAAATTTCTAAAAATTACAGGATGGGCAGGCTACCAGTCTTGCCCCTCTTTTGGATCGGGGAATGATGGACATCTACAGCAGACAGTGTACTCTTAACTCATTCAAAATGCTCAGACATTCTAGGTTACTTTTTTTTTTTTTTGGTCTTTTTGAGGCAGGGTTTTGTTATGCAGTTCAGGTTGGCCTTGAACTCACTTTATAGCTCAGGCTGGCCTCAAACTCCCAGCGATCCTCCTATCTCTGCCTCCTGAGTGCCAGAATTACAGGTGCGCGCCACCACACCCGACCTTAGATTACCATTTTTTTTTTGCCTCTTCTTGAACATGATCAGGAAGTGCTACACTGATGTTTCCCTTTTCTAGTGATGCTTCATTTTGCCCTCCGCTCCCAGTCTCCTATGCTAACATGGTGAGACTTGTAGATTTAAACCACTTCAATTAACAGTGAAAGTTTCCACTGAAGGAAAATTTGTAAATGTCAGGACTCGAAGACTACCTACTGTATATTCTGGATAACATAGTGACAAGAGAAAAAAACCTAACAGAAACATGAAAGATTAAAAGAAACCACTTCATTGTTTGAATCCCCTTCTACCAGAGATCTCTTCTATTGAACACTATACTTAAACAAAACATGGGAAAAACTAATTCTATGTAAAACTACCCCATAGGAAGCTTCTGAAAATTTGTTATATTTACAGCTGTTGTCTCCAGGCAAGCTCTCCTTTGGCCTCTCATACAATTCCATACCCTTCTCCCCATTCTATGACATAAGCAGCTGTAGAACTTATGTTAGAAAATACAACTGATCAGCTGGCAGAGCCCACTTGTTAATGACAATCATTAAACTACCAAAAAAGGTATTTTTTCACGTCTGGATTAAGCAATTTTGATCCTCTTTACACATGGTTACTTTATACCTTTTCATTAAAAATAAGAGCGGTTTGGAAGAAAGAACCAGGTATCCAGTTTCCTGATTTTAGGGCATTTGAAGGAGTGATGACTGCTACATTCAGCAACATGTAGGGAATTAATGTTTTTTTTTTTTTTTTTTTTTTTTTTCTGCAAAAGACTAATTATAGTAGACTAAGACACTGGTGTTTTTAGTATCACCACTCAACTGTGTCCCTTTAAATACCTCCCACATCGAACTGTTAACAGGTGATCCTTTTCCTCGGTATCGACCAGTCATTTGGACAAACTGCGAAGCAGTTAAATGTGGGACCTGGTGGGGCCGGAAGCTGCTGTTTCAACGAGGCCTCCATAAAATAACAATGTTCTTCCTTTAAACAGAGACACCCAAACTGAAACCTAAACAGCTTAACAGTGGGACTAAAGGGAAGGTGGGGAAGATGGTTAACTTAAAAAGCTCGAAAAAGGTGCTAGGGAGGCCCTCGAGTGCACGACGGCTCGCAACCAGCCGACAGCGAAGTGAACGTCGCTCGGGGTCCGAGGGCTGAGAAGTGCAGGCGGAAAAGGGGCAAAGTAACGTGAAATGGTGAAGGTAACCCAATACCTTTCAGGTGAAGCGTTTGGAGGAGCCAAGACGGGCCTTGGGCCCTTCCCTACCTCAGCGGCGCCGCGCTCGCCTCACGGCCGCCTCCGCCTCACGGCCACACCTGGGCAACGCCCACTTCCGGTCCCTGGCGCCAGAGGGTGGGGCCCCCACTTCCTGTGACGTGCAGCCTTGTCCGCCTCAGCGTTAGGCCCGTATGTTGCCCGCGGAGGGCCCGCCCCTTCCCCACCAGACCCCAGTCCTACGGTCATTACTATTCATTCCTTCGCTCCCTTCTGGGCCAGTTTGCCTCAGCTCCGCCCAGAGCTGTACTGGGCATGCGTGCGCGTGGAACTCGCGTGTCCTTCCCTGGGCTTAGTGGCGGCCATTTTAGAAAGGAGAATGAGAGTTTAGGAGCGAGACCAGGTAGACGCCGGGTGCTGTCCGGAAGGTTTTGTTAATAGAAATATGGTTTATAGAGTTTGAGGGGAGGGAAGAGAAATTATGAAGGGGATAGGCAGAGCAGTCAAAAAACAGCCAAAAACCAAGGGCAGGAATTTTGTGTTTGACAGTTATAGAATCTCAAAATTCAAGAGCGGAGTAGTAGTACCTGAGAATGGATGGTAGGACGATAGATGGGCTAGTTGCGTTAAAAGGAGTTTTAGGTTGAAGAGGACAGGTGGGTCCCAAAGTTACAACTTCACTGTAGAAAAACAAACACTGAGCAATTGGGCCTGGTGGCTCATGCCTGTAATCCCAGCACTCGGGAGGCTGAGGCAGGAGAATCGTTGCGAGTTCGAGACTAGCCTGGGTACAAAGTGAGCTCAAGGCCAGCCTGAACTGTATAGGGAGACCCTGTCACAAACAAACAAACAAACAAAAACGAAAACCAAACACTAAGCCATGGTTCTAAAAACTGGTATGCCCACACAGAAAATATAAGCAGATTTTGTCCCCAAAGCTCACTAAGAAAACAGATACCAACGTGGATGAATGGTTATTTGTTTGGGTTTTTTTTAGACAGGGTCTTATGTAGTTCAGGCTGGCCTTGAACTTGTAATGATCCTCCTGCCTCAGCCTCCTGAGTATTGGGAATACAGGTATGCGCCATCACACCCTGCCAGAAATAGGTGTTGGTGCTTCCAGGTTCAAGCTGTTCTTGCAGGCTTTGTGCACAGCTGTGTGTGTGCGTGTGTGTGTGTGTGTGTGTGTGTGTGTTAGTACTAGATGGAGATTGAACCTGCCACTGAGCTACTTCCTTTGCTCCCTTTTAAAATTTATTTTGAAGCTGGATGTCAGTTACTAAATTGCCCAAGCTGGGCGGGAACTTAAGATCCTGCTCCCCTAAGAGTGCTGAGATTATAGTCATGCCCCACCATGGGTGGCTGGTTTAGTTATTCTTAATCATCTCTGAATATTAGAATCATTTAGGGAGCTCTTTTTTTTTTTTTTT